ACTTTTTTCTTATTAATAGACATTCTCATTCTTAGTCACCATGGTATTCACATCTTATGTTCTTTGCCCATTGTTTGCCCAAGTAGCTCTTTCTGCTGAGCATAAGTGGAGGTTTTCCACGTGTGCGAGCTCCCTACAGCGATCCACATGGTCACCAACAGCCTCCGAATGTATTATACACATACAGTATGATCGTAATACTATTATGAATGTTTATTTGTGGCTATATCCGGGAGACTACTGTCTTCAGTAATGCGATAAAGACGTTCGTCTTTGGGATCCTCTTCCTATGATTTATTGTGGCAATCATTAATTTTATGCTTTTCGAAAAATCTCGCCTTTCTACCCAGTAGGACGAAGTCTTGTCCAGGTTAACCAATTATCTGGGCGACTTTCATTTCGTGTGAAGGTTTGTTTTAATCAAATGTTTAGGCCGCTTTCATCAGAAGACGATTGCAAATTCCAATTTATAGACTAAAGCTCTCGCTGTCTACGAGGCACTCTTTCGGTTTCAGTGAATACATGCCGTGCTCTTATCTCTTTCATTCATCGGAAGTGTATAGCCTTTATAATAATTTCACGCCAACTTCGAGTTAACAAACTAACTGGCCCATACTTCTATTTGTCAGATAAGCTAGAGGACAAGCTTTTAAGTCATTTAATATGATCCGTTTAGTCCAATTACATGTTTATAGGGGTTTGTGTATCCGCGCCCACAATCAAGGAACCACCAGTAGTAGGTCCAGGTTATTGGAGCGGAAGTTAGCGTAAGTCCCTAGTAGGCAATTACGATTGCGTAATAATAAAAGTCTGTATAGCTGGAAGGAAAATTTAAATTTGCATATAATCAGATCACTAGACAGTGTGGATGATGAGTGAACCGTAACCAGCCAGACAAGTTGAGTCACCTTCTTCCTGCAGGTGGTTCACCATCTTCTCTCATTGTAATTCTATCAATCAGTTTAGGTTTGGCTTACTGTCCCCACTCTTTGCATTCAACTTATTCCCTTATCTGCCTATTTAAATTGCCTCTCAGTCACCCAGCAACATTCATAAAATACTTAATAAACCCAATATCAGAGCTAAGCAATCTCATGCAAAGCTGCATTATTTTCATACGTTTCATAAAGTTTTTTACTTTATAAAATTTTTTGTCCATTTGATCAGAAGATCTTTGAGACCATGCATTGTGAAATGCTGCAGTGACGATTTTCGAGAGGCTTCACCGCACTCTTGCATGAAAAAGGACGAATAGAGCAATTTGCCTGTGTATAAAGCCCCTTAAGGTCAACAGGTTTGCACTAGTTTCCATCTAAGAAACTTAAGTGCACTGGGAAGAAAGGAAAAATCTAAAGTTCAGGAAGGGTTAAAATGATTGGATACTTTAGAGAATATAATAAATATAATCTCGTAGGCTGTTCAAAGTCCTCAAAGGATGAAGAATGGTACAAATCTTGTATAAACTATAATGAAGGCAGGAATTTAAAAAAAAGCGAAAGTCCATTTGCATATCATTATTGCATTGCCACGCAGCCCTAATGTCAGCGAGTGCATGAGTTCAATGGCTCGCATGAATCGGCCGACATGACAACGGCACAACTGGCGACCACTTACAAAACTTAGACTTGTACAAAGTAGCGATGCAATTTTAAAGAGAATAACTTTTAGGAAGTTGACCTAGTAGAAATGTAGTAGCAAAGTGAAGCCATGTGTAGTCCAATCCCGAGGTTCTAGCTCGTCAAATCTTCCCACGATGAACACCATTTCTAGGTGTCCTGGAAACTTTTCTGGAAAAAAACCTTTTATCAATGACATTTAAAGGTCGAACATTCATGTCTAGAGCACTAACGAGACCACAAGGCCATTGACTTGAGGTAAAACCTATCGAAACTAAGAGTTTGTACAAGCATCCAAAATTCCATATGAGGTGAACGGATTTTTGATGTCAAAAAGTCGCGTGAACAGTCCAAAACTATTAATTGCAATGGAAACAAGATTTGTACCATTTGTCATCCTTTGGGGGTTTTGAACAGCCAAAGTATCCAATTACTTTGGCCCTTCCTAAACTTTGGATTTTTTCTTTCTTCCCAGTACATTCAAGTTTCTTAGATTCCAGACTCACATAAATTCATCCTCCTGGTGAAGGAGCATTTTTAAAAATAGTAATTGCCTTTTAGGTTTTAACAGCCATAGAGTAGGCAGTGCTAAAACCTTCGCCTAGGCATTTGCATCGCCATATCAAGCAATGGAGAAATGTGCACCATATTTAGAGCGTATTACAACTTTGTTCATAAACTTGCTTTTTTTCAAAAATAGGCAAATATGCTTATTCTGGGGCGACAGAAGACAAACTCTTGTGTCGTGAAAGAGACACACCATGAGTTAATCTTAGTCATGCTATTATGGCGTCTGAGTAAAGTTAATTCAACTCGTGATCTGGATAGTCGTAAGTTTTGTGAATCGCTGAGACAGCCCGGATCCTTTAAATGTGTGCATCAACTCACTTTATTTACTGCTAAAACTGCTCTTTTTAGATCTCTTTATGGCGTAAATATATAAGCGCTTCTATTGACAAGCACAACATACAAGAGCGCTGTTTGCCTCGAGTGTGTGCTTGTCTGTTGAGGAAGAACATTTGATACTTTACGAAATTCTTCACAGCCTATGCCCTACGAGAACTCCGATTGCATGGAAGAGCGAAGAAACACTGAGCATGAACCTTGTGAAGTGGAAGATTTTCAGGCTCCTACACGCGAATTGCCTCAACTTCCGTGCTCAATGCTACCCGCGACGAATCCTGAGCCAGCAGCTGGCCTGGAACATGCAACATCGGATGAGTTTGACATCGAAGAAGTGGTAGATTCCAGAGCAATGGAGAACATGGGCACTCTGGAAGAGGGTCACACTAGCACAGAAACTAACGAGGACCAAGTCGGTGGGCAGCTACTGCTACCGCTGCTGAGCCTACTTGATGACTTGCGTTTGGAAAACTGTCAGGAAGGGGAGGAGATCCGGGCGGAGCTAGGAGACAGTGGTGAAGAGGCACCAGACATACAAGTTGATGAGACCATCGTGGCAAGCATTTCAAAGCTAGTCGATAGTCAGGAGGGTTGTGACGATAGAGCGGTGCCAAACTCTTTGCCTTACGAAGAATTATTGGTGAAACTGGACGAATATTTGGCTTGCTCGATATGCTATGAAAGGTGAGTCCGGCTGTGTTGCGATTGTCTTCTTATTCGAAGAAAAGTTGGCTTTCGAAGAATCTCTTGTTTCATAATTGTTGAGCTCACCTCCATTTCGAGTGAGAGGGTTCGGTGAAGAGTCATGGAGGTCGATCCCACCGGAAGGCGATGGTGGATTCCTCTTGACCAGCCATAGATTGATTTCACTGGAACATTCTTGTTGACACTGTTTCCGAGGCAATACTTCGATTCCTTCGATTCCGGGGAAAACTAAGCTAGGCTTTCGTCCGTTGTATGATGGGAATCATCGCAGCAGTGAGTATATCATCCTTACAACCATATTCAAGCTAACGAATCAAGAAAACTCGTTGGCTTGAATATATATTCACCGCTCTGATGATTCTCATCATACAACGTACGACAACTTAGCACATTTTCACCGGAATCGAAGTATTACCTTGGAAACAGCGTCAATAGGAATGTTCAAGAGGGATCCATCGTCGTCTTTTGGTGGGATCGACCTTCAAAACCCTTCACCAAACCCTCTCAGTCGTGATGGAAGTAAGCACAACAATTGACCTATTTAGCCATTCTTGCGGGAGCTTGTTTTGCATGGACAGGTGAGGAATTCTGACAATTAGGGGAAGGTGTTTTCGGGCCAGATAGTGTCTCTTCAGTGATTTCTTATTATCTATTTTCGCCTATTTCTTTATATAAAGATATGGACATAAAACTAAGTTAATTCTCATATTCTGGACAGGAAGGAGCCGCTGTTTACTCCAATACTAACCTGCATGTAACTTTTGCATTTGTTTTACTATCCGAAGAATGCCGTTTTGGCTAATTATTTGCAGTGGGATGTATAATTTTTAACGGCATATTATTAGTGACATCACTTCCTGTTTAAATGCCTTTTGCTAAAATTATAAAAAGTTTTAAGGGATAGTTGGTTAGAGCAAAACGTTGAAAAAAATTATGAAACTGGTTTCTTGTCCTATGTCCATGAACCTTCTATTTTTATCAATACTATTCCATATTTCCGCTCATCACCCCTCATCTCGCCATCTTGCCAGACTGGCAAACCCTCGGTCGTTGCCCTGCCAACACACATTCTGCGCAGAACCTTGTCTAAGGCTGCTACTCAACAACATGTCCTGTCCAGCCACCTGCCCACTCTGCAGATGCGTGTTCACGAGTGTCCAGGTTAAACCAAACCTGATGGTCATTGGACTACTTGATCTCCTAGGCTGGACTCGGGTAATAATTATCATGGCCTTAAAGCAGAATTTGTCGCCTGGATACTATTCATTCCTGACTGTGGGTCAGAATTTCTTGTTACAACGGAATGATCGTTTGGTTTAACCCTATCACTTTGATACAGATTTAGTTTAGTTTGTCCCCTAGGGCATTAAACATAAATGTATTAATATATATATATATATATATGCATGC